CTGGCTTCAGTAATCTATGCTCTCATAATCTCTAAATGGGACAATGGCACCACACTTGATCTGGGGCTGCCAGATATGGTCCAGAAGCTGCAGCTGGCGCAGAATGTGGCAGCCAGATTAATAACTCGGTCATGGAGGCCTGCCTGCCTGCCCTGGGCTGTAGCTTCCAGTCCTACTTCAAGGTGCTGGTCTTAACCTATAAAGCCCTACACGGCTTGGAGCCACAATAGCTGTTGGAGCACCTCTCCCAGTTCTGATCTATGCAGATGCTATGCTCAGCCTCTGGGGCTTTCCTCTGAGTGCCAACCCCTTGAGAAGTTCAGAGCTTGGCAACCAGGGAGAGGGCTTTTCTGTGGTCCCCCCCACACCTTTGGAACGACCTCCCTGCTGTGGCCCGCCTGGTGCCAAATTTACTACCTTTTCAATGCAAAGTTAAGTCAGCCCTCTTTGCAGAGGCCTTTAAAGACTTTCCTGGTCAGTCAGGGGCCTGACACAATTAGCCAGGTACTTTTCTTTTTTATTCTTTGCCAAATCTTTTTATTGCCTTTTATACTATTTTAAGCTAAATTCTTGTTAATGTTTGTATTTACTGTAATTTATTTTTTTGTATACTTTGTCGTAAACCACCTGGAGTCGTTTGGCTATTGGCAGTGCAGGAATTAAATAAATAAAAGACAACAACTGAGACTTGTGAGTCCAATTCATTAACTATGAAGGGCTCTTTTAGGGGTTTTTTGTAGCATTTTAGCATAGATTCCAAGGCAACTGTAGGAAATTGTCATGGGTTCCAATGAAAGCTGGATCCGTTTGAAGTAAGAAGACTAAGGGCAACGTGTTTGCAATCCGTGAGCAGCATGCCACTGACTTCAGCAGGAAGCTGACTGCTCCCCATGTCTTCTGCTAATACCACAAAATGGTTGCCCTGGTTCTGTCTCCATGCGTGAACTGCCTACTCCAATGAAGAAAGTGCGCTTGAACGGGGCCTGCCATTGCCACCTCTTGTCACAGGCCAGCCTTCTTGTCTGCAACAGATGTGGTCCTTGCTATGCTGCAAGTAGCTGCAAGTCTTAGATTTGGTCAGCACAGATGGATGAAGGTTCTGCTCCAGTTTGTTTTTACACACATTTACCAAAATGTGCACATTCCTTAATTTGGGGAGGGAAAGACTGTAAGGGCTGTTTATTTGTTTGTTTGTTTAAATGAGCACAGGAGAAAGTGAAACTTACAGATCCACTCTCTCTCAATGGAAGCTCAGAGAATGCTTTAAAGAACTGATGGCGTTCTGATTGGACTAGGTTAATCTACTGCAGAATATTACTGCATTATTATTACATTGCATCCATATTCCACCTTTCTTCCTCTTGTGAGTAACCCAAGCAGTCTTCCTTCACTTCATTTTATCTTCACAACAACCACAACCCTGTGAAGTAGGTTAGGTTGATAGTTTCAGCCCAAAACACCCAATAAACTTCATGGCCAAGTGGAGCCTAGAACCTGAACCTCTCATGTCCCCAGCCCAACGCTTTCACCACCACAATATACTGGCTCTCATTAAATGTTGTTAAATATCTTCTTGCATGTCAACAGACTTGTAACTTCTGCTTCAGAGATCATTTTAGTAATACTTCATTGCACATGTTCATCCAAATGTATCCTTCTCTGAACATGGTTGACCAACGTTAGATGCATAATTCGTGTTCTCATGAGGATAGAAGTATCTTCCTTTCACTACTATGAATGACATCTCAAGGCTTATGTTTGATCTCTTTCTTGTGGCATCATATTTGAGGCTTGCAGCTACATTGTGATCAACTAATATGCTGGCATTTTTGCTCCCTTCATTTGTTTCCAGGTGATTTGGCCTCAGCCTTGAACAAAACTGGCCATCACTGGTTCCCATATGACTTGAAACATGTGCCCTTCCTTAAGCCATCTCCAAATTCCACTAATATGCTTCTGTACCCACTTCAGTCACTCAGACTAGTCATTAATGTAAAAATGCCCATACCATTGGATCTTTTAAACATTTTTGCAGCTGTGCAAGAACTCTTGACAGATAAACAGTTTCTGTGTGGCTCAAAGCACATCTGAAGGGTACTTCAGTACACTTTCATTTAAATAATCTATCCTAAGCACACAAGCCTTTCATTTCCTATTGATTTCAGAAGAAAGAGCAGAAGCCTGCTTTTCAAGCTTAACTCTCTAAAATTGGATGTGCAATTTTTCAATCGTAAGTAAAAGAGCAACATTTCCTTGTCAATGTACCGAAGACAGTTTAAGTAGTAACCAGAGAGATATTGGATAGCTTAGAAAAGATGGGCACAGTTTTCATACACCTAAAACATTCTGGAAGGAACCCTGTGTACAATTATTATATCCCCATAAAATCTGCCTGAGATCCATGAACCTTCTGCATGCACAACTGAGTGTAAAGGTGCGGACTGTAGTACAGGCAGTCCCCACGTTATAAACCATTCCTGAGAAAATGGAAATTCGCATAGTTGGCTCTCCACATGTGTGGGGACCGGGGCACAGGTTCCTAGTGAAAGTGGAAAAATTGCTAATATCTCTAGACCATCTTCCTGCCCAAACTCACCAGTGCTGCCTCTTTAGAGCAAGGAAATGCCAGAGAGATTTCCCTTTCCAGATGAGTGGGCAGGAAGGCATGCCTTGGAGGCATCCCCTTCTCCCCTTTCATTTCGTCTTTCTGTATGGTGAAGACAATTTTCTGCAGTAATTTTAAAATATTATTAGGCTTTATGGAAGTTTGTAAGTATGGGTTGCTTGTAACTTGGACCTTAGTTACAAATACCTCATGGTGGTCCCTTTCAAAAAGAACAGACATACCATTAACATTTGTGACAACATCGATAGATACGGGTATCCTCTGAAAGGTATTCTTGGATGTCAGAGTGTCCTTACATGTGCATGTGAAAACAGAACCTCAGATGCACTGAGCTTGCAGGCCTCAGCCCATACTGGCTTACAGAAACCTTTCGAGAAGTCAACTTTCCCTATCCGCCCTGCAGTGTATATACTAATTGTAACAGAGTTTTGTGAACCCTACTTATAATGCAGAATGTTTCTATCAAAGGTTCTTTAACTGTGATACCAAAGAAGTCATATTATGCCATTATATATCCCCATTAAAAAGTATATGTGGGAATGACACATGCTATAAAAGTCAGGATTAGTGAACAAAAAGGCTACATAAAGAGCCAAAGGATGCAAGCCCTTCTTGTTTAGCATTTCCTTGAATGCAATCTGAATAATCTGAAGTTCTGATGTTTGGTAAAGCTCAAGGAGGGTTGTAGCACCACGAATGTCTACAAAAGCAAGTGTATTGATCCATACTTTAATGACTAAATACTTAAAGAGACAACACTTCGAAGTCAATCAGTGTGGACTGGTGGTTAGTGGAGGGCAAGCACTTGGGAGATTTGGGTTCTAGTCCCCTCTCAGTCATGGACAACTTTGGGATAATCTCTGTAGGAAAAAAGGCAGGATAAGATAAACAAACAAACAAACAAACGAGACATGGACTGGAGAGGGTAATGTCTCAAAAGAAACCATTAACAACAGTGCTGTGGACTCTGGAAGACTTCTACATCTTTCACCCTTATGTGCATGCAGCAATCTGGAAAACTTTTTTTTAATTTATCTTAATATTTATATACTGTCCCATTCCCATAGGCTCTGGAAGGTGTACAAGAAATACACCGTAGAAAAAAATTGGAATAAAGTGCTGAAGTTTGGGAAATAGAATTCTAGTAGGTATTTCTGGTAGGGTGCCCTTTAAGGAACCAACTTCAGTTTAAAGGCTTCTATTACTAAACCTGTGATTGCAGTCCAGCATTTAAAGAGTGATCCAAGCTTTCTTTCCTTTTGTAGGTTCTTGGAACAGAAACCTCATTAGTATTACAGTTAACTTTCTTTTTTATCTGTGCAAGTTTCTATACAAAGAAAGGTGTGTGCTTTTAATTTGGTTCAAAATGGTGATTTTATTTGTATGAACTTATGTTCAGGACTACCAGAGTTCATTGTCTTTCTCAGAATTTTATATTCACAGTGTAATCTAAGGCTCTTTTCCTTTTATATTTTTCTTATATGCATATTCTTTTGCATATAAATGCTCTTGGTTTGCCAAGGTCTATGAATTGGTGCCTAAATTAGTGAGTTTTTCACACACATGGTCACTTAGGAAGCAAATTAAAGATTTTTTTACTTGAAGGTGGAGGCACTGGAGAGTTCTATATTGTCAATGGGTGTGAGAAACTTGGATTGGGATGTATGTGTGTGGGTGTGCATGCATGTAATCTTTCCATATATCTTTTCATATACTAGATCAGCAGTACCCAAACTGTGTTATGCAGAACACTAGCATTCCACGAAAGCCTCGTAAGGGTTCCGTAAAAATCTCAAAAATCAAATTAAAATGGATTTTAAAATGAAACTACATGAGGCCAACTATTCAACTGTCAATTGGTGTCCAAGCAGCAAACAAGGAAATGCATCATGTCATTTGGTTCCCAGGACTCTATTGCGCAGTGTTGGGAATAAGCAAAAGAATTCATTTGGGACATTACAAAATAATCACTTAATTCATTCATTATATTTAAAATGTTTTCTCCCTACTTGCAAACCTAAAACATTATACAAAGCACTCAGGCAACAGGAACAGATGAAAGAAGGAAGAATATTGTGGGATCGCAATGCTCAGTAAAAATCAGGGATAGAGTGAGGGTTCTGTGGGGGAAAACTGCCTTCAGAAAGGTTCCATGACTGAAAAGGTTTGGGAACCGCTGTATTAGATCACAAAAGAAAACCAGCGGTCAAAATACTTCTGCTTGTTTCTGGCACTGAATAATCCTCCTACTTGATTTTGCTTTCTTCTGTTGTCTGATGACTTTATCTGTGTAGCCTGGACAGCTGAAGTTACATTACCAGGCTTTTTAGATTTTATTCATCTTCAGTCGTTTGATTATCCCAATTGTTTTATTGATTCCAGGGACTGCACCTTGAACTGTTCATATATCTGTGCAACTCTTTTAAGTTCAGAAGGCAACTTTAATGATTGATGTGCATGTTTGGAGAGAAAAACCCCTGCAACTCTCTGTATGTCCCAGCCAGGCATGGCTGATGGGGACATGCTGGTAGTTCTAGAATTTCTGATAATTTCCTCTTACAGAAAGTAGAAAAACAATTAGAGGATCTGCCATCATTGACTTGATTCCAATCAACAGGGATGACCTAGGGGATAATCTGTCAGTTATGGAAATTCTGGGGGAAAGTGACCATGTGATACTTGAATTCTTGATTCTAAAGGTAGCAAAAGCTGAATGTAGCCAAATGCATATTCTGGATTTAATGGAAGCCAGTTTCAATAATTTCATCACAATGAAAAGCAAGGTTATACTGTAAGTGTCTTGAAAGAGAAAGGGAGTCCAAAATGGGTGGGGATGTTTGAAAAAGGAAATTCTAGAGGTGCGATGAATTACAAACCATTCCAACAAGAAAAAAGTTACCAAAAACAAAACACAACACAGAAGCTTCACATAACACTTAAAATTATCTGCAAACAAAGAAGGGACTTGCATAGAAAGTAAAGGAAGGTCAGGCTACAAAGGAAAATTATAGGCAGGAGGCACAGAACTGCACCAATGGCGTCAGGAAGGCTAGTGAGGGATGGTAAAAGCAACAAATAGCCTTTTTCAGATAGTGGAAGACAGAGGAAAGAAATGGTGGTTCAGCTACTCAGTGTGGATGGCAAAATGATAACAGAGAAGTGCTCAATTCCTCATTTAGCAGAGTCTTCTCCAAAAAGCAGGTCTATGAATCCCCAGCAGAAATTAAGTACAAACTGAAGGGGCAGGATTGAAGCTTCAGATAAATAAATGGTCTTTAAATGAGTTCAGATCTTTCTTTGAATGAGTTAAGATATCCAGAGCCTGATGAACTGCATCCTAGAGTAATTATGGCAGAAGAACTGTCAGAACTACTCTATTATTTTTGAGAAATCATGGAGGATGGGAGAAGGGCCAGATGGTTGAAGAAGGGTAACCTTGTCCCTGTCTTCAAAAAGGGGGAAAGGAAGTACCTGAGAACTACAGACCAGTTAATCTGACATCAATTTCTGGAAAAATTTTGGAGAAAATTATAAAGTAGTCACCCTGCAAACACTTTGAAAGCAACACAGTGATTTCTAGAACCAATCACGAGTTTGTCATGAATAAATCTCTTGCCAGACTAATCCGATCTCATTTTTTGATTGGATAACTTGGTGGACTGTGGGAATACTGTGGACCTAATATTTCTTGACTTCAGTAAAGCTATTGACAAAGTGCCACATGATATCCTGATTAGCACACAAGCTGAAAGTGGGTTAGATGGAAGAACTATCAGGTGCTTCCACAGTTGGCTACAGAACTGGATCCAAAGAATGCTTATCAATGGCACCTTCTCAAACTGGGGAAAGGTAATAAGCAGGGTTTAATCTTGGGAAAATGCTCTTCCACATGCTCATTAATGGTTTCAATAAGGAGCTACATGGAATGCTTATCAAATCTGCAGATGACATAAAATAGTGTGAGATACTAATACTCTGGCTAATAGAGGTAAAATTCAAAGTAAATTTTATAGATTGGAGCACTGGGCTAAAAGCATTACATTTAATAAGGAGAAATGCCAAGTTCTGATCCTAGGAAAAAGAAAGCAAATTCAGTTACAAGAAGAGGAACACTTGGCTCAACAATACAATATGTGAAAGGATTTCAGAATTGTCACAGATTACAAGCTGAATGTGTGTCAACAGTGCCACTTTGGGTTGCATTGATAGAAATATCACTTCTAAATAATAGGAAATACTAGTTTGCCCCCATGCAACACTGGCCAGGCCTCATCTGGAGTGCCACGTTCATTTCTGGGCATCACAGTTCAAGAACGATACAGACAAACTGGAAAAGGTTCAGAGGGGGCAATGAAGAAGATCAGTGGACTGGAAGCAAAGCCCTTTGAGGAAAGGCTGAAAGAACTGGGCATGTTTAGCAATGAATAGAGAGGACTAAGGGGAGATATGATAGCACTCTTCAAGTACAGTGGTACCTTGGCTCACGAACTTCATCTGGTCCAGGACTCTGGTTAAATTTCCAGAGTTTAAAGTTAAAGTTTAACTAAAGTTAAATTTCCCCATAAGGTTCAGTGTAAATAAGGTTAATCCATTCTACAACTTTTTTTTTTTTAATCAGAAAATTGTGAAGCAAAGTGACAAAGAACAACAAAGATCGTGGCCATCTCCCCCGCCCCCCCGCACACCTGAGCACGAGTGCGGCCATCTCCCCGCCCCACCAGCACAACCGCGATTGTGTCCATCATCCCTGCACACGCCCATCATCCTGACACGCTGAGGGAGGGGGGAGAGATGGGCGCAATCGCAGGCAGGGGGGGAGATGGCCAAGATCCTAGTTGTGCTCGTGCAGAAAAGACGGGTGCGATTTCGGCCATCTGTCCCCCCGCTCCGCACGACTGTGACCATCTTCCCCCGAGATGGGGAGATGGCCGCGATTGTGGTCGACACCCAATGCGAAGTCCGTGACCTGAGTCAATTTTTTAATGCAATTTTTGTTCGCGACCCAATTTGGTCGTGAACTGAGGCGTTTGTGGTTTGTGAGCTGAGATACCACTGTACTTGAAAGGAGTTCTTGTCTTGATCATCCCAGAGTGCAGGTCACAGAATAATGGACTCAAGATACAGGAAACCAGATTCTGGCCAAACAGTACCAAAAAATCATGACTGTTAAAGCAATAGGGCAATGGAATTAATTTCCTGAAGAGGCTGTGGGCATTCCCACACTGGGGGAGTTCAAGACTACGCTAGATGACCAGCTTCCAGGGACGCTTCCACTTGGAGTCCTGCATTGAGCAGGGGCTGAACTCAAAGGCCTTACTGGCCCTTCCAACTCTATTATTCTATGATTTCATTATTATTTTCTGACTGAAAATGCATAGAATTGCACTCCTAACTGCAGGGGTCAAGCCTTTTTATTCTGTTTCTGCTTGCCAGCAAGGCCAGTCAGGGGGAGCTTTATGGCATTTTGACTTTTTGTGTAGATAAGAAAGGATAATAAGAGATTTTCATTTTCAGAAAATCATGAACAAGAGGTTGAAAACAAGAGGAAAATAAAAAAACGCTAATCGGGAATGTGGATCTGTTGCCTGGTAACATACTGTAATATGCCCGAAAGCCTCAACCTACATCTGACATGTTTTCTCCTGATTTGCAGGGGGTCTTTCTCTTACCTTCTTAACTTTAACACCACCCTTTGGCGTTTGTTTAGTTGTAAGATTGTATCCAATCATCTGTTCAGCAAGCTGCCCTACCACTTTTGGGCTACAAATAGAAAAAGAGAAAGAGCAACAATCCCAATCAATATAACTTTTTTTTAAAAATCCTGCAAAGAATTAAGGATTTAAAAAAAAATCAGGCTCTAATTTCTTGACTTACTCCTTGGTTAGGTGTACACCTCCTTTCAACCCACTGCTGAAAACACCTTTTCCTCTTCCTCCAGCTAAGATTTGAGCCTTTAACACTATTTCTGTAGCTTCTGTAAAGGAAACAGAGAGAAAAAGAATCTGTTATTATACTGTCTGAATGCCTTACTAGACCAACAGTAATGCTTAGCCAATTTTATCAAGCTATTTTAGTATACAGCTGAAAGAACAACCATTCTACAGAACATTACATTAATGCTAACATTATTATAATACCTTGTTTTTTTCAAGATTGTTTTAACCTGGCTGCACGAGTGTGAAGCAAAACAACTTCTCATACAAAAGTCATTGAGACGATGCGGTTTGGCTTCAATTTATATTCATGCACACGCACAAGCTCCAACATACAGCTGCTAGTTGGGTGGTAGAGGATGAGCCCAACTAATGTTAGGACTATGCAGAACCATCTAAAGTTAAGCCAACTTAAGTAGATCCTCTGAAATATATGTAAGTAGATCCACTGATACTCATAAAGAGAGTAGTCCTATGGCCCCTAGACTGTTGGGGTGGGGTAGACGCCCAGCTCTGAAATCAGAGACAACTCCTTAGCTGCAGAGCTGGGAACTGGAGCACCCAGCCCTTGTCTCGCACAGTCAGAGCAGAAAGAACCATGCTGATTGCTCTGCAAGGCTGGGAAAATGACCTCAGAGAAGCTTAAGAGGAGACTCTGGGGGGCAAGGAAGAGCAGAGATTGCCAGGGAGAGGGGAGACTGTAATGACCAGGATGGAAGGCATCCTGATGGTGTCCTAGCTGCCCTCCCTCCCTTCTCTGGAACACCTTCACTAGATGGCCAAGGAGGACTGTTCAGTGAAAGAGTGGGAGAAGCAGGGACATGCAAGGTCCCCTCCATCACTCCTTCTGGTCTGCATGGGATGAGCGTGAGCCTCTGAGCTTGAAGGCTCACACTCATCTCGATTAGATTGTGCTTCAGATCCATTAAATGGGATTTAAGTAGACTAGCATGAGGTACAACCCATTGGAGAGAGACCAGAATAAGATTGGCAAGTGTTCGTTAAAATACTGTTCATGTCTTTAAAAAGTACCCATATAGACTCAGACCAGAGAAGCTACTTTTTATTTATGTATTTTTCAATTTATATCCTGCCTTTTTCCTACAAAGGGCTCAAGGCAGCTTACATCTCCTCCTCCATCTTATCCCCACAACAACAACCCTGTGAGGTAGGTTGGGCTGAGAGTCTGTGACTGGCCCAAAGTCACCCAATTGGCTCCATGGCTGAGTGGGGACTAGAACCCAGATCGCCTGAGTCCCAGTCCCATGCTCTTCACCACTACCCCACACTGGCTCTCCAGTGAACTGGTATACTTCAGGCATACCAGTCATCTTTATGGCAAATTTGCTCTCTTTTTCTCCCCCCCCCCCCCACACAGAGACATCCAGATTTGCTGGACCTCACCCCTCAGTATAATAATCATGCTGAATGATCAAGCACCAGATGGGGAAAGGCTGTTGTACAGGAATTGCACTGTGCTAAAAACAGCTTGGATACTGCAAGAATATAAATATAGTTTCTAGGCATGAACAGTATGTTCTAGTGCATTGTCTAGGGCACAGAAGGGCTTATTTCAAAGTAACACATTGAAGTGGAATATTTTTAACATAACATATTCTTAACAAACAAACAAAATCCAAAGAGAAGAGGAATCAAGTTGTGTTTAACTGCCAGTTTTAGATGCGTATAAATAACTATAAACTAGCGAGCACCAGAGTTTTCCCCAGTCACCTATTTAGGACGAGCCTCAGGAAACAGGGATGAACCGGCAAAGTTCTTTAAATCAGCAAGAATATCCCTAAGGGAAAGTCATGTCCAGAATTGTCTCAGCATTCCAATGCTGCAGAAATATGCAGTCCTACTAAAAAAGCGGGGGAAGCAATCTGGAACATATGATGTCAAGATAGAGCCCTATCGCCCCACTCCAAGGAATAGACGCACTTGCAGAGAGTACACCTGTCTCTTGCACATTTCAGGCTGCTCAGATAGATCACTGGATTCCCAGAAGGAGGCAGAGGAGCAAGGGGGAGAGCAGGAGTTCACCCATTCAAGGTTAACTAGCGAAGCTTCTCAGCTAGAGTGGGAGAAGCTGCCTGCTTTGGAAGGGGCTGAATGGTTTTCAGGGTGGGAGGGGGAGCAGATGTGAGACCAGGCCTTGACCTGGTCACGAGTTGGCGGGGAACATGCACTGCTCAGTTAGAGGGTGTTCCTGCTGTGGATCCAGGATGGAGACAGGAGGAAAGTTTCCAGCTTGGAATGAACTCTTTACATGGGCAGGTGCTTCTCCCTCAACTTTGGGAGAAGACTATTTAAAGTTCATACTGTGCGGTGACAGTATAAGAATGCAATATAAGAAATGCATTCAAAGGGATGGTTTTGGGCTAGATAAACAGAAAGAAAGGAGGGAAGGGACCATCTTATGACAGATACATTACAGAGCATCAGAAAAATTGTGCTCTTGTGACCAGTGAATCACACAGGCAAGCTCCAACTAAGGCCCCTTCAAGGAAGCATTTGAGTGCTGACTGCCCTTTTGGTACATGATATCAGATGCATGAACCCCATTCCAGGAAAGGAAGCCATTTTGCAAAGCAACCTGGTGATGAAAAATTGTTGACAAGGAAGTATAATTCTCACCATATATATAGGTACATTGCATGCATTGCATCTTCAATCGGTACCCTCTGAAACCTGCAACAGATGTTCCACCATTCTTTCATGTAACCTGTTTTGCTCCATGGATCTTTCTCTGAGGTCAGACTGCACAGTCGATAGTTTCTGAATGTGGCTCAACCAGGTAACCCATTAAATGTATCTTTGACTCTTCACATTTAATGTGCATGGTTCTTAAAATGCAAATAGCTCTGTGAATATGTGTGCATGCAAGCTCATTGTTGGCACTGCAGCTCCTGACCCTAACAGCTGATAGTTGAAGAGAACTTTTTGTCATCACTTTTCATGCCTTAAGCTCAATTAGCTCTCTTTCTGTCTTCAGTCACGGAGCTATGCAAGAATTGTGTGTTGCTGCAACTAGGTACAACAGGCCTGGAAGGGCGGGGGAGAGCTCAGATTTGCTCAGAAGAGGAAAACCTGTCTTGCAACATCACATATTAACAGCAAAGCTTTGGTTCTGATATTCTTATTTCAACCTTGGCTGCTAAATTGACCATTTTCTGCACTGTAACAAGCAAAATCCGGCTCCTACTTTGTGCGCTGGGGGAAATGAAACAGATATGGTACCATCAGGGCTTTGTCACAGAAGTTCCGGCACCTTTTTTGACGGATCTTTCAAAGTGACTGTGAATCGCCCTGTTGGGCGTAGCAGGTCGGCTGCAGAAATCATTAACGTAGTGCCTGCGGGCCGCTTGCGCGTCGGCGCTGATTGTCCGGGCTGATAGTGAGAGCGCTGCTCGGCTTGGGATCGGTCGTGTGATTGCGCGCTGACTCAGCCGGCGGCGACCATTGTGTAAAAGTGTAACCCCAAGACGTGAGTTCGGGCACCTTTTTTTTTTTAATACAAAAAAAGCACTGGGTACCCTTATCTTTTTTTCAAAGAGGTGGAATGCAAACAACATTGGACAGACTGGCTGCAAGGTTAAGGAGAGATTTTCTACAAAAGAGGAAGGATCTGGGCAGATAAATACCAGGTTGAATTGGATGATTCCTTTCCACTGATCCAGACCATCCTACAGGAGAACCAAGTGCATGCTGCCCTGCTTCTACTTTTGTCCCACAGGGACAGGGAAACCCAGGATAGTGTGGACATATAAAACCCTGCAAACTGTGCAAGCGCTGCATATAGATGATGTGCCAGGCTGAAAAAGGAAGTTTTCATTGGCTGCACAATATTAGCTAACGTGCACGCAATTTTAAATGCACAGGATGCAGTTGGATGTTAAATTCCTGCAGGAACAATGTGGGGATGGGGCAGGTACCTGCTCACTCCTCTCCACCTAATGGGTTGGCTCAAGGGAGTGGGACTATTAGTCCAGCCTATGGGTGCTCTTCCTTGGATTGCTGTGTGTTTGTGTGAGTCCATGTTTGCTTTGGAGAAAACTTAATACCACCCTCTTCTTTTTCTTATTTCTTCTGACTGCAAAGCAATAGTCAGCATGGGTGCAATAAGGGGGATTCTACTCAGATCTCAAGGGATGCAGCTGGCGCGGTGGTTTAAACCGCTGTGCTGCTGGGCTGGTTGATTGAAAGGTAGCCGGTTCGAATCTGCACAACGGGGTGAGCTCCTGTTGCTCTGTCCCAGCTCCTGCCAACCTTGCAGTTCAAAAGCGTGCAAATACAAGTAGATAAAAAGGTACCACTTCGGTGGGCAGGTAACAGCGTTCCGTGCTCCTCGGTGTTTAGTCATGCCGGCCACATGGCCACAGAGACTGTCTGCAAACAAACGCTGGCTCCCTCAACTGGGAAACGGAGATGAGCACCGCCTCCGAGAGTCAGGCATGACTGGACTTAACGTCAAGGGGAAACCTTTACCTTTACTCGGATCTCTCACAGTGTGTGTGAGTATAAGTTGCAGCCACGGAGGGCTCACAGCTGCACAATGCTTGAATTTCCAGCCCATGCGGCTTCCCCAGCAACCAAACAGTCCTGCCCTGGTCCCACCACTTTTCCATCCATTACAGATCATTTCATGGCTTCCGGCTTTTGCATTTACTGGCAGTAAGAGCTTGAGGCTACCCTCAGCCTTTGACTACTCCTGCCACTGGAATGCGGTACCAACACCTCTAAAATGGAGTTTGGCCCTTGGGCTGAAAAGGGTTCCTTCCCCCTGGCTGTAACACTCCCTATGCTCTGAACACAGCAACTTTGGAAGGGGAAATTGTTTTAGGAAAATCTGAGGGAAGTCATTACCCCCCTACTCCTGCAAGCCCCTAATCGAATCCCCTGTGCAATCTGTAAGATTTTTAAAAAGAAAGGGGGAGATCTGTGATGGGAAGCTCTTGGTACACTTCTGGATTGTTCCTGACTTTTTTAGGAAATCTATGCACGCGACAGACAGGCTGGCAACAGGATAGATTAGACGTGTTGCTATCAAGCACAGACAATCTTAAATCTGATGTGCTTTCTTTATTGTAAAAGAATAGAGTTTTAAGTAGGAAAATACATTCTATTTTTTTCTTTCCACCAAGCTTCTATGAAGTGTGCACTAGAAATATCTGTTTTCCAAGCACTTACTTTTGATATATATTGCTTTGAACCTTAAATCTTTCCCTTGAAGATCTGTCATGCATCCCAATGCACCCCCTTTCCCAGTGCCAGCTTTTCTATAATTCATGCCACCCAAAAGGCAGATAACAAGGAAATTTAAATGCAATAACAACACCACCAGAAAATGCAGTTTTATATCTACATTGTCTAAGCATACAAATTATTATGATGAATTTAAAAATAAATCACTTTCTAGATGACAATAGCAAAAGTCAGAAATTACTCCATCCCCTCTGATAAAGCATCTATTTTGGCATTGTTAATGGCCCCTACGAGCATTTAATTAGATTACTTTGAGTTGCTAACCATCCTGACAATGAAAGCCTTGTATGCACCATGATAAGTGCTGTCAATTCTGACTGCGATCATTACCCTTTGTGCCACAGGCTCTTCAGGCCAAGTCAGTTGCATTCATACCCTGCATGCTGATTACTTCCTACTTGGCAATAACAAATATGAAAGGGGCAAGAAGAGGGGGCGGGGGAGAGGGGACTGAAATAGGTATTTTTTAACATTTTATTGCGTTAATCTGCCAATGGAACATGAAGGCAGCAAAAGACCTTGCATGGACTACAAGTATGAAAGACATAAGTGCACAAGGAAAGTAGGCATAACTACGTAAAGGTTAGACCTCAAGTACTAATCAATATAGCGACTTAGCAGAGCACTTTACAAACAGGTTCTCAACGCCCTAGGGGAAAGTGACATGAAGTAATTTAATTCCACAGTTATTTGCTCAAGCTCTGGAAAATGAAGTAAACCAGCCAAATCTTATTTTACAGTAACCAAGCCTGATGGTTTAGTATTTACCAAGTTGATTCACTTCTGCAGTGTCACCACTTCCATTTTATTTAAAGATCGGATTCCAGAAAGCATACCACAACTAATTCCTATTTGTGTGTGTCTCTCCGTGTGTAGTTTATTATTGTTCTTAATGCTGTCTCCTGTCAGAATTCTCAGATTACATTAGGAATGAGTACTTCACACGAGAAATTTAATTGTATCTGAAATACATACATGCTTCAACTACCCTCACAGGGTAATGCACCCAAGAAGCACAGTTCCTAATAGGCTTTGTATGGAAATGAAATAAATCCATATTCAGAAAACAACATTAAAATGGATCTTCTTAGTTAATGTCTGTCAAAGAACTTCAACAAATGTACAAATAATTTAAAAAGGCCTTTTGCATGCTAGGCCTCAGCTGTGCGCAAGCTCTCTTCCCCCAACTCTCATTCTTATGTACTTTTATCTATCTTAGAAAGGCACTACCATGACTACTAAGGTGTTGTGTCAATATTTACCACCATGAGATGTACTCTTAGGCAAGATGCCACATTCCCAACACCGTTTCATTTTGCTATTAAGGCCTCTCAATCAATTGCCAGTCCTGTCTATTGATAATAAGTCTTAGTGTGAAATTCATTAGAGTGTTTGTTTTGCAACTCCAAACTAAAAACAGATTAATAAGATAAGTCAGGTGTTTGATAAAGGTGCATTGGTTTTGTTGCTAATTTATTCATTTGCTATTATGCTGGAAAATTTAAAAATGCACTATTCACTCTGAAATACTTTCCTTACAAATTATAGATAGATTTTGGTGGTGTGATTGGCTAACCATATTCACATGTAGAGCCCCACAGTATTCAGGATAGGATGTGGGTTACATCAAAGTCCTACGTCAACTCTCCAGGAATGTGTGTAAGAACAGTCATGATGGTGTTGGCCGGCACCACCACTCTCTCATCATTCCCATTGTCCACATCTTGGACTCCATGTTTGCACAGTGATCTGTGAGGACAGACCCCAACACTGAACACTGCAGTGGAATCAGAATCCCCCCCCCCCCCCCCCCCGCCGCCTACACATGCACAAGGAGTGCAAGGGATGGAGCTGGTGGCGTCATTCCATTAGTTGATGGGAAGTGAGGATGGAAGGGATTTGCCTCTCCACTTTGCACCTTTCCAAATCTGCTCCTGTGGATTGGGAGATCCCCTGGAGCAGATCAGGAGGATACATGTGGTGCTGCAATGGGGAGAGGAGTTCTATTACATAAGGGGACATCCATTCATGAAAAGGCTGGACACAACCCAACATTTGCATAAGGCTTCTCAGTACTTAGCTAATTAGGTTTTTTTAAAATAAACTCTACAAGGGAAAAATATCCTTTAATGTTCAGGAACAGAAAGAAAGAACCTTGGCTGCTGTATACAGATAACTGGTTTTACG